CTCGTTCCGGGGTGGACTTGAGTATGCTTACGCCGCTAGCTTTCTTGACCCGGCGTCGAGGTAAGGACTGCCTTGAAAACGATTTGACTTTGAGTTAGAACATGCAGACTCAGGCCACCTCCCCCCCACGCACACTGCGGGGGCGTTCAAGCGCCTGTAGGAATCGAGCAAAATCAACCGGCTGGATTGGTGTTTTATAACTAACATAGAGGGTCGTGAAGTACTCCTCATAACGATTGCTATCCTCCATAGAGTATCAAGTAGAATTTTGGGGTCAGCGGGATGCATGAACGGAGCGATTTCTTGTGGCAAAAGCTTATGCCTTCCTGGCGCTAACAAATATAAATTTCGAATTCCAGACCCCTTTCGGCAATCGAAATTTCTTAAGGCTTACGAGAAAAAATGTTTTGGTAGGGTAGGTTAATAAATTTGACATCTCAAAATGCGTTTTCAACCTGAAAAAAAGTATTTACATAGGGTTACAATATGAATTATCATGCAACGCAACCTACAAATATTTCACTCACGTCGGGACGCCGGCTTTAGAATAAGCTTCATTGCTGCCGCCTGCGTAAAACACATGCCAAAAAATATATACTTAAGTAGTATGCATTTTTCTCATTGACTTCCGATTTCCTTATAAATTCAAGTATATTTTATAGAAAAAGTACACGAACATAAACTTTCTTGTAATCATCTAGTAGAAAATCATATCTTCTTCAAATCATATATTTGAAGAAAGTGTGTCTTATAGGTCAAAAAATACTTTCTAATCCTGAGAGCTTTTAAGGCTGTGAAGTGTCTAGTCGTATCTATCCATTTATTAATGCTGCCTATAAGGTATACGATATGGTCCAGGTAAAATGTAAAATTTTAGAGCAATAGGTTATGTCCTTCAAAAAGCTTAGAGAAATGTGTGATTTCGCTTGGACGGCATGTGTACAGCATGTAGTTTGGAAACACTAAATGCAACCATAACGGCAGGTCAGTTCCACAATTATTCGACGATTGCAAAAAATTGTAAAACCGGAAGATGCCCTGTATATTGCGATACCAGACAGCTTGGTAAGGTCGCTGGACCAATAACGCTTGTGGCTTGTGTAGATCGAGGAAGCTGCCTGGTCCGCGTCTAATGCTGTCGCCTTGACAGATTACTGGCCCTAAAATATGATAAAAATGCAAAAAGCGGGAGGTATATTTTGTGAGTGAATACCTCGTCACAGGCCAGTCAGCGTGATGGGGCCTTCGCTAGTAAGCATGGTCCTCCCCGCCGACACGCCCGAATCATTTAGAGCCTTAGAATTGATGGCAAAAGCAACTCAATAATTGTACTGAACGGTTCCGGTTGGAATTTAATATACAATGTAGTCCGGCCCGAATGAATAACATTTTCCTCCCCCATGGGTCGCTTCGCTAGCATTTAAAGCTTTCGTAAACCCGTCTTTGTTCTCGGCCTCCCCCTGCGCGACCAATCGACTTGACTGCCCGCGCCTGTCGCCCACGGCCATAGGGGGGAAATAACTCTACCAACTGTCAAACGTCTCTCTCAGCCTGCAGTCTGCGGACTTTTAGGCGGCTGGTAACTGTTCAAAGTCGGTTGGCCCAGCCACCATCAAGTGAATTTGGATACTTAATTAAAGGGAAGGAGATTCAAGATAACTCAAAACAGAGGATTAAGGCGCTATATAACCATTCAATAGACCCTGGAGGTATTTCGAAGGAGACAGCAACGAGCCCAGCTCCAGGGGCCGTTGGCTACTAATGACCATCCAAGCGACGGGAACCTTGCGTGTTTGACGAGCTCGATTGTAAACCTTAAAAAGTTAGCAAGACCTGGACTTGTTACTAGACGTCCAACAGCTTTGTCTTCGTGTCTGGGAAATTAATGTTTTTCCCGGCGTCAATAGTCTAAGTGAGTGGTTAGAATAGCTCAGATGTAGAGCATTCGCTGTGGATTCTAGCGATAGAAATACCGACTGGCAGCAAGCGTTTTCTGCTGGGACCCTATACTACCCCCTATTCTACCTTAAGGTAGGCTTTAAAGTTGGCTTCAATTCAACCAGAGTACTGACAGTAAGTTTCCATTTGAATTCGCGACGCCAGCAAGGAAAACCTCGAATATTTCGCTTCTGACGCCCACCCTGTATGACAGAGGGCGTCAGCTTAAACTATCATTGCTTGATAACTCTCGCCACAAAACCATCGATGTGTAAAGTAGGCAACCAGAAAGAGCAGACATTGATTACACGCATATTTTACATGTTATTTATGGCTCACTATAAGTCTATCGGTTATGTTATGGTATATAGTCCCACGTAGTTCCTGTTGTAAAGCTTGTCTAGATATTTTATTTAAGTGGGCATGTTTAATTAATGTTTCGGAGGTGAACCAATGCTTTAGGGTTAGAGTTGGTGTTTGAGAGTTAGGATTTTAAGGTTACCGTATTATCCGGACTACAAAGCGCAATTAAAAGTTTTTAATTTTGTCAAAAAAACAAGGCTACGCATTACCACGGCGCCGTGTCCAACACAAAATCACTTCGAGATCAGTTACCAGAATTATTCGATATATAAGATACTCCAGGTTATAAGACGCACTGCTGTTTTTTGAAAAAATTGAAGACTTTTACGTGCGCCTCATAATCCGAAAAATACGGTGAGTCTAAGAGTTACTTTGGCTTGCGAAGACGGGGTCCCATGCTGACTACTGAGTTGCACGAAGACGCGCGTAACGCCTTCTGTGCGAAGTGCTGACTTGTATTTACTGTTTTACTGAATGGGATCCCTTGCACTAAGTAGGTTCGTAGGCGAAAGTATAGTAGATCTGCTATGTGATGAAAGGTTAACCGAATTCTTAAATGTATTTCAGTTCGAAAAGGTTACTTAAAGCGGGCTGTAAGATTAATTATCATGCGGCATTATCTCAGGATATTTCAGTCACGACGTAATGCCTGCTTTCAAATGACCTTTTTTCCGGCCCTCTACAAATATGACCCCGCTTTAAAACAGGACTACTTAATTGGTGTGCATTTTCTATTGATTTTTGATGTTTTTTTAAAAAATTAATGTACTTTATTGGAAACGCATATCAAAGTAGTCTTTGGTGTACGAAAATTACGTCCTCTTAAAATGTTATGATATAGGAGGGCTCTTTTCCTATTTGAAAAAAACCTTTTACAATTTCCTTATATATTTGACTCCGACCTGCTGCCACACCTGAATTCCACGCTTCCAAACTACAAGCTGTATATTTTTTCTGTATGAGGAAAATCATATATTTCTATATGTTTTTAAGAAGATGTCCTATAGTACTCATAAAATTGTGCCGTGGACGTGCACCACGCAGTACCCTTTACAACCAACCTTAATAAGTGTACGGATACGATGCCTCAAGAATTGACATTTCACGATCCTCAAAAATCGCACAATTTGAAACTTTTCTAAAACAAAAGCATACTCCTTCGTAAAGTACAGGAGTTAAATTAGACGTAATTTTCAATCAAATGAGTATAATAAAGAATATCTTGGGGCATGTTTTCTATAAAATATCTTAAAATTTACCGGGACTTCGAACAACAATGGGAGAGGGGGAAAATTACATATTATGTAGTCATGTTTTACAGAGCATAGTTACGGCAGGCTGCTTTAAGTATGCTACACGACAAGTAATCTTATAACCATATTTAAGTGCTCTTTTCTAATCGAAGGCCCCTTTTAGAATTTCGGTTAACGTTTCATCAGGTACCAGATCTACGATATCCTGTCAAAAATGCACTTATGATGATCAGGTAGGCTGACTTCTTGGACATAGTCGGCTGATCATCTACCACCCGGATTCTGCTTGATTAAACGTTAATCTACCTGAAAGTGTTTCAATGAACGAAACTTAACCTGTCAAGGTATTATTGTCCAATTATCAGTGCCAATAGAATTGCCGTGTCCATGGTTTAGAAGTAGGTGGCATAAAAGAAAATAGCATGAATGCAATCAAAAAGGCCACGAAGGTGACATATTTCCGTCCGATCGGGATATATAATATTAAAATAACTTATATATTATATTACAGCGGGCTGATTAAGGAACAAGAATGTGCCTGGAGCTCACTATAGAGCCGTCCATGCGGTCGCATAGCGACTTATGGAATAGTTTGAAGTGGAACCGACAAAGACAATGGAGTGACCATTTCTGGCTTATTAGCTGTCATCAGCTCGTCATAACCAATCTCGGGTGTGGATCGTCAATTAAAACCCGTGACCCTTAATCTTTGAGTGCAACACTCTACCGTTGCACAACGAGCTCCTTGCTTTTGTCGGTTGCGATCGGGAATATGAGGGGAGTAAGCTGCTCACCGATTTGGTTAAGGAACAGAAATACTATTGAGAAGATAAAGGATTATTCTCCGCGAAATTGAACTATTGCATTATATCTGCATAATATGGGTTACATATTACATTTAATATTATTACATAATATATTTAATATTTAGCAGGTAAAGGGTTATGTTCCACACCATTAAACCATTGCACTTATTAATTATTTCCCACCGTTTCGTTTTGCCATCTAGAAGCTCATCCCTGGGAGTTCATTCCTGTTCTACATCAAACGAATAGACCTGACAAGCTAACACCAATCGCCAGGTCTATCCACCTCCTCACAGACTCTAGTGGCGACGGCTTTCAAAGAAGTTTATGCAATGGTGACAGCGGAGAATCCACTTGCAGTGAAAAAAGACGTCGAAGTCGCACTAATTTCACGAGTCACCAGCTTGCTGAGTTGGATGCCATGTTCTGCACAAGTCACTATCCTGGGGTCCGCAGCCGAGAGGACATCGCCCAGAGGCTGGGTCTTTCTGAAACCAGCGTACAGGTTAGTGAGCAAACTGACAGAAAACTAGAACCTGTCTGACAAATTGCTTTAAAGAAGATAGGCAACCTTCTTGCTTGTGGGAAAGGAATGAGATCCTGTAATGACATTGCTTATTATTTCAAAGGTTGGTTGAAGTTTCTTTAAGCTCCAGGGTGGTTTGAAAGAAGTTTATCAGCTTGTCTCAAGAGGGGACAAGCTCCAGGATATTATACAAATCTAATGTGGCAAATGGACGACGAAATTAACAAAAAGCTGTCCTTAAAAAATAAGGTTGTCCGCTGTGATGACTGTGATTCTCCTCAACCCTTGTTGACAGAAGTTCAGTAGGGTCCTATGGCGAAAGGAACCCACCTTTGTAGGTGCCAGTCGACCTTAAAAGGACATAAAGGTTTCTTCCAATGGAACTTCGTTGAACATTTCCAAAGTACGACTCTACATCTGGTGGGCAGTTCATGCAACAAACTCTGTCAGAAAAAGTTATCGAACACCTAAAAGTTCTCTGGAAATCTTTGCTTCTCCAGAACCCGTTATTGGTCATTTTGAAATAATTGAATTTGAATTAGAGCGATGTCATTTTGCTGATTCTTCGACTGCTACTGGTCAGTTAAGCATGCCTTGTGAGAACGTCCAATAGAATACAAAGTCGATAAGGTACTAGTAATAATCGCAGGAGGGAACAGCCATTCAACTGAAATCCAACACCTTGCTGGCCCTTAGCATTTAGCGAGTAAACACTAACGCCGTCCAACGTGTTTCCAAAGGGCTGCACAGTCATTGCTTGCGGCAAAAATTAATAAATAACTAACAATCACTGACGAAATATCGTAACGTGTGGACGGAAGGGAACTGTTTGTCTTCGAGTACCAGGCAATCGTCAAATGTTTTTTCTATGGTTGAGAATTTGGAATCAATAAAGCAGAAGGAATGATTGCATGTCAGGTTCCTCCTCGTGCGTTTGAATGGCTTAATAATACATTCATTTAACCCAATTGTGAAAAATTCGGCGGCCTCAGTGAGATTCGAATTCAAGCCAGCATGGAGAGGGCCTTAGTGCAGCCAACGCTCTAGCCAATCCAGCTATCGAGGCTCCACCGACAGCCATGATTTTAACCACAGGTATGTTGACTTACCCGCCTAGCCTACTGCCACATATTATATCCACCAGCTGACTGCCGAAGCAGGATTTCCGAAGCAATCAATCTAGAATCCGCCAGCTGACTAGTTAACGAAAACGACTCTCAAATATCAAACAGCACAGCAGGGTGATCTATTTGTGAACTGGGTTGAAAACACCGTTAATAAAAAAAAACATGTCTTGCTAATTAACCATTCTCCTTAACGGCGAGACTATCAGGGTGACCGATAAATTTTAGGCTATTTGTATGGCGGCAGTTGGCGAGTCGATCACTCATTATGAAACTGGCGC